CTGTGTGGCGGTGGTGTCTGCGGTTGTGTCGGATGTGGCAGAATATCAGTGTACCACACATTTGAGGTTTCCCGCGTAACATCCGTGCGCCTCTCGATCTGCAGGGGAAGAAAGGAAGTGGTAGATCAGTTCTCTCTGCTCTGAAGACCCAATTATCTCTGTTGATGGCACGCTGTCCGATTTGCGGTCGTTTCATGTCGGCTAACGTTAACAGCAAATTAAATTTGTCTAAAGAATTGTCACTCCGACCGATAAATTTGTTACTCAGCGACAAGGTTACGACTTGGTATTCTTTGCGTCTACTAAACAAATTTACGAGCGTAAACGCGTCCAAAAAGGTGACAGAGAGGTGACAATTGCATCGTTTATTTCAGAAAACCGCCAAACGCCAAATTAGTCATTCCGAGAAAACTGAGAAAAAAATGACCCAATTTGTATGGTTCAAAATATTTTTTAGTATTAAAGCAGTCGATAAATTAATATTTTTCATGTAAATATGCACTAAAAGATGTGTCTATACTCATCGTACAATATACCGCCGCTATGGCGTTTTTTAGATTTTGGCGTTTGATGGGTTTCTGAAATAAACGATATAGTTAACATCAAAGATTCTTTTCAGACCTTTTGGCATCTCTCTTTCCTTTGATTTTATTTTTCCTTTTATCCACTTTAATTTGGCCTTTGGACGGAAATTTTGACTGCAGTCGGCGGATTTTCTCGTGGTGGATGTGGCAACCCCAAACTGCGGGGTATCGCCAGTTCTCCAGACGTAGGACAGAAGAGGGGTGTTGTTTCCCGATTTCTTATTACTCCGGTTTTAAATCCTTTCGGCTTCCATCTATCAGCTGCCATCTACCTTTGTGTGAGACCCGAATAAATATTTTATTGAGAATTGCAATGCAAAAAAGTGGAAAGATGCAACCGAGACTACGTCCGTATTGAAATAAGTCTCCCCATCTCTGGAAATGCCTTTACGCGCCACAAGATGTCTGGACTTCTTGATGTCTGGATGTCTGGACTCAGAGCTGGCTGTAGCATCAGCCGCGACTCCTGTTTGCGTTGCAATTGTGCAATTTCAATTAATTAAATCTATTGTGTCATTTTAACTCGTGACTATATTGTTTTGATCACCATGATTGTAAATTCTCTAAATAACGAATTGGAATTGTCGAAAGATAAATAAATTCTCGTATTATTGGTAACATTGGAAAACAACGGGAAAATAACACTTAAATGACAAGTATTCGTAAACTGAAGTGTACGAAGAATCCTAAACATTACGTGGGCACAAGTAATAACAAATGAAGGACTGCTGAAGAAAGCTGATGAAACATCAACAGCAATGCAAATAAAATGCAGAAAATGGAACTGGTTAGGACATCCTTGAAGAAAACCCCTAAATTCCATTGAGAAAGAATTACTATGTTGGAACCCACAAGGGAGTAGAAGCCAAGTTCGGCCGGGACCACATGGAGAAGGACAGTGGAAGGAGAGATTCGGGAGATTGGTATGAAGAGGAAACAAATCATCCTTATAGCAGGAAACCTAGTATGATCCTTTGCCGAGGCCCTATGCTCCGAAAGGAACTGAAAGAAGAAGGTTATTGGTAACGGTTACATCATATTCGTAATATTTGAGTATTGCATTTTTTGCCGTAATAACATTTTAACGATCACATAGAAAAACTTCAAACCAAACGAAGCCGATGCGGTACAAAACTAATTCTATTAAAGCAAATAGTACATCACAAAATCAACTAGTTGCGTCGCTGAAAATTGTCGCGTCTTTCTCTTACTAATCCAGTTTGTTTGAGTCGCGGACTACTGTAGGCGTCGTTAACACGAGGGCCAGAACCGTTAGAGTTAGCGTGAAAGTTACGCTGCGAGGGGAGGAAAGGGCGTTGCAGCCTGAACATCCGGATTTTGCGACCTCGGCGGTTGACTCAGTGAGTGCCGCCCAGAGCCAAAAATTACCGGAGGCTGTTAAACTCCGAGGATATGCTGCCGGCGAAGGCCTCCTTTACGGATGAGCAGGCCAGCCAACCTCGAGAAATTCTGATGTGTGACCGGCGTAAACCAAAGGCTATGGCCTGCGAGCCTCGCGCCAGCGCGAGCTTTACCTTATGGACAACAGTGGTGGCTGGGCTGTCAGCCCTCAACTATTTAACGCGGCCGCCATCTGCGCCCGCGACTCTTCATTCAGTTTGCATCGGGAAAGCTTGTACGTGTTACAAGGGTGTAGCGAGTGTGGGCGAGATGTCCGGACAGTAAGGCGGCCAGACAATCTCGCGTGCTGTTAGGCACACCCGGTCGCCACGACCGGTCTGTCTCAAATTTTGTGCGTTATACCACGCATGCCATGTGACTATACTGGTAATTGTCATCATCGTGACACCAATTCACAAAAACGCGCGGCATCACGCTGTGGCTTGTGATATAATCTGCCGGTAAAGCGGAGTTGTTCTGAGAAAGGAAAAAGCGTTAGCCGGACGTGCGTGTCATATTAGCAAATATTTTACATTGTTAACTTTGTAACATTTAATCTTTGAATAATATTAATGTTTTCATTTTGTTATTGAAATTTATTTTTATTTCACTACGTCACACTACCTTCTTGGATTTGCCCCAGCTGCCATCACTGCCGATCCGCCCTAAGCACAATGCCTAATTTCCCTCGTCCGCGTTTGGCAAAGTGCCTCATTGGGAGGATAGTGGCGTTCGTTCCGTTGGGTTGGCATCTGGGATTCTCAGACTACAATCCAACCCCCCTTCCAGATCCGAGAACTCAGAGAAACCCTACGTTCGCCCTCCCAACAGCCGTGACAGTTCGGACGATGCCCCACCCCGTTAGCGAAGGCTCCCAGCGCTGTGGCTGGTCGAGCAACAGGGAGGGAGGGAGTGAGTGAGTTTTAGCGCCACGCGTAAAGTACCGACGTCATGCACTAACAGTCACGTGACGGACCTTGAAGACAAAACGACTTACCTTACGCCTAAGGCTCGACCTTACACCTTCATAAATAGTGCACGCCTGTGGGTCTAGCAACAATGCACGCACGTTTTCTTGATCCTCCAGCTCCCTGGTTCTCGCTCAGATCGGCACAGCTCGTCCCGTTAAAAAAATTGAGTTCCATTCGGAACTTCACGGCTCAGTTTGCAGTAATGGCCACTTTCTTCCTTTACAATGCAGACTTCTCTTTTTTCGTTCTGTCTAATGACCTCTGCGTACTGCGCTCCTCCTTGTTTCTCACAAATGTCTACAATTATTAATTATTTCTCAGATTTTTAAAACACCTTGCATTGTTTCTCATTGATATCTAGTCCAAGACGCGCTAGTAAGCGGAGTTTTCTGACGACAGTTGAAGCACTGCACTGCCGTGACGTAATCAGAACCCGCCTCTCCTCGCACCCCCGCTGTAGAGCGTCAAGAACAAGTGCGCGTATAGTACGGTCAACTGTCGCGTACAAACGGCAAAATAGCCACGTATAAACAGTAAATTTAGCATTTTCCAACTCTAATAAACTGATTCTCGAATGTGAGGCAAATACAATTATTCCTTACGAACTCCACAACTCTGGCAAGAATTGACGGAAAATGTTGGAAAGGTGTCGGGGAAGAAATTCGCGAATAAGGAGTGGAAATAGCTTCGTGTTATGTTATATCTTACACTCTTATCAAAAGCTGATACTAGATATTCCCTACATCCTCAAGAAAAAGCAATAAAATCCCAGACTGCATACTCATCATACAGGGCCACAAAATGTAGAACTCCTTGTTTAATGGAGTTTATGTTTAATGATGTTTACTCTTGACTCATACAATGGTTCTAGTGTACACTTTGCTGTTTCACCACCACACTTGATATCTAATGCAGGCTTCTTCTTTTGTTCGACATTGAAATGCTTTTTTGTTATAAGGCAAACGCAATTGCTAAACTTTCTGAGGCTCTGCCGATCAGGACAAGAGGCTAAAAAAACAATTTGAAATCGCATCTACGCCTGAGGAAGGTCGTAGAATGGTGACGAACTTCGGCACCTTCGTCATGGAGCGGCGTCACCCGGACAGCCTAGTAAATACTGACTCCGGCCGCGGAAGCCTACGCTCTCACTGTTAAAACGACTCCAGAAGCACAAGTGATTCCTATTGTCAAAAGTCATTATCATTAGTATGAAATACTAATAATAACAAGAACACATTTTGCCAAACTACCGGACTCTAGATATATCTGATAATATAATTGAAACTGGTCTTATAATGCTTACGCTATCTTTAATGTGCTTTGCATCATTAAATATATGTATTTTAATTACTTCAGCTTTAAAATATATGAACGTCGCGCTCAGTATGAACAAATACTCAAAATTAAGTATCTGTACAGAAATGCTGTAGAAGAAGAAATATTCTGTGTGTTCTGTTTGGCGTGTACTTTTGTTTGGGTGATGTGTGCTTGTGGTTTAAGTGATGTGTACTTTGGTTTAAGTGCGATGTGCTCTGGTTTAAGTGCGGTGTGCTCTGGTTTAAGTGCGGTGTGTGTTTGGTTTTAAGCGCTGTGTGCTCTGATTTAAATGCTGTGCTGCCTGGTTTACGTGCTGTGTTCTGATTAGCGTGCTGTGTAGTGTCGTTTAAGTGCTGCGTTCTCTGGTTTAAGTGCGGCATTCCCTGATTTAAGTGCTGGGTTTTCTTGTTTATGAGCTGTTTGGGTACTTAGTGCTCAGGTTCCGGTGCTGTGTGCTCGAGTTCCAGCGATGTGTACTCAGGTTGCAGTGCTGTGTTTGGTTTTCGGTGCTGTGGCGTGCGCTGTTGTAGGGTCTTGTGTGTTTTGTATGCCAGTCGGGTGTGTTCTGGTTTAAGAGCTGCGTGCTCTGATGCGTACGCCGCGCCGCGCGCTATTATATTGGGCCTTGGATGTTTTGTTTGTCTGTGTGCTCTGCCCCGCGTGCTGTGGTTTGTGTGCCTTGCGTTGCGCGCGGTACGCTTACTAAGTGCTCTTTGGTGTGCCGCAGGGGCCCGTCCGGCGGCGGCGGCGGCTATGACGAAGAAGTTCGAGTTCAACTGGCAGGTGCCGGTGCCCGAGCCCCTGCTCAAGGGGTGCGTGTTCGACCGCTGGAGCGAGGACAAGGACTCGTTCCAGCTCGAACCCAAGTGCCTCTTCCGCGTCGACGAGTACGGCTTCTTCGTCTACTGGAAGAGCGAGGGCAACGTACGTATTATAACTCGCGCCGCCGCGCCGTGTGCCGGCTGTCCGGCGAAAGCGGATTTCTATGTTGCCATTAAAATGTAATGTATGTAAACTCTTTACGGCGAACTCCTTTACGACGAAAAACTCCCTTCAACGAACGCGTTACTTCAGGTTTTTTTGTTGTTTACATTATAAACCATGCAGCGGCTCGGTTGGCACAACGTGTCAATTGAATCGTTTATTTCAGAAACCCGTCAAACGCCAAAATTTAAAACATGCATTAGCGGTGTTCCAAGAGGATAGGCACATCCTTCAGTGGATATTTATATGAAAAATATTCATTTATCAACTTCTTTAATAAATAAAAATATTTTGAAACCAGAAACATTGGTAGACGTTTTCTCGGTTTTCTAAAAATGAGGAATTTGGCGTTTGACGTGTTTCTGAAATAAGCGATTCAATTGATGTGACTGCAGTGCCTCTGACCGGGAGAAAGGGTCCTACGATTCGGTCCCGACAGTTGAAAGATTTTCGACACAAGCTAGATAGCTAGGTCGAATGGAGGAAATTCTACGGCGGCTGATCTGTGTTAGTTTTCCGCTTGTTTCTGATCAACACCCAGGCGATCTGCGAGCAGTTCCCAAAAACGTGTCACGGATTGAAGCGCGATCTTTCCTTGATTCGTCCTTGGCCTGTCCCCACCACTTACTTACCCACAAGCACTGCTCCACCACACGTGTAGGGAGAGCGTCGGGAGTTTGAAGCTTGTCCCTTTTGGGGGCGGTGCTCTGTTGATGAGAGATACGTTGTTGGGGAAACCCTGCAGGCTAACGTGTAGGTCGGCGCTGGTTCTCGCCATCAAGCTGGGAAGAACACCGCCACTTCCCGTGATAAAATATGCGCTACACTTACGAGACTAATGACCATAGCAGTTGACGCTCCCGGAAATACGAAATAAACAATTATAATTCACGCTCTGACATACTCTGCCCAAATAACGAAAACTTTCCAGAATAAAGTCTTTCTTTCTATCCTTTCGAGTTTTGTTGTCGCGTTTACATCGTGTAGCTTGTGGTTGACTCATTTTGATGATGACAGTTGATAACGCTTATTTCACGCATGTTTGTTTTATGTACCTACTGCTCGAACGCACGTTGCAGTGTGATAATTTCTGCGGACTTACGCATGCATATGTTTTTGTTTTTTTGGTAAGGGTTAATGTAAAAAACATGGCTACGAATTCTCTCCTCGACTGTTCCACTCGTGCAATTAACACCAATAACGTTTAACTACATATCTTGTAAGCACCAATCACGACAATGCACCAACAAAAAATTCTGGCTTTTTCTTATCAACACTCTGCTGGCCCAATCACAAGGTGCGCTTCATCAACTTAAGAAGCGTTTTCGTGTTCACTTAGTACGCGATCTCAATACAATTAATATTTCGCGCCTTACGAGACGTTTCTGGAGGATATGCAAATAGATAATACAAACTTTATTACATTCGGCTATTTGAGAATTGACAAATTAGTGAAAAAATAAAAATTGTAAACAAAGAGTGACCCATCTCCTGCCATCCCCAAAACTATCGGAAGAGTACATTTTTGAATCACTTTCAAATAAATCTGTGTGGTTATTTTTTTGTGGTTAATTGCATGCACATGTTATGTTGTTGACCACTGCCCGAACGGACGTTGCGGTGTGATAATTTCTGCAGTATATGGGCTAAAGGAAGGGGGATGGGTGGGGAGGAGGATTCTCAGCGCTACTCAGTAAGGAAAGTACTTAATGTGAAGTGTTTGTTGCCAAATATTTTATTTTGTAATACATATTAAAGTGTGATTACTAATTATTTGATTAAAGTCGTATCTCTTATCAGTGCCCCGTTCGTGAATTGACTGCCAACACCACGAGATCGATGAACGAAAGCGAAGGACGGGAGACCGGAACACGCTGGAACGAGGGCATTTTGTTCTGTAGTGAAAATGTGCGTGGTTTTTGTCGCGGTGTGCGTAGAGTTTTTTGGCGTAATCACACATAGAAATTGCAAAAGGGCTCTTAGCTATTATAGAAGCTGTTGCTCACTTTTTGTATCTTCTATTGTAAGTCATTTTCTTAAATAAATTGTTTTCAATTCGGAAGGAATTTTTCAAACTTTTGAAAGGATTGATTATTTCGTGTTTCCGGGCGCCGGTCAACTGCTGTGGTCATTAGTCCCGTAAGTGTGATACATGCTTTTACCCCGGGCGTTGTCCATGTTCTTCAGCTGGATGTGAGGTCCGGCGCCGACCAACACGGCTACCGCCCATCCCTCAACCAGGTATCTCCTACTAGCCGGGCACTGCCCCAGACGGAACAAGCTCTAAGATCCCGACATGTGTGACTGTGTAGTGCATGTTCTTGTGAGTATGTGTAAGTAAGGGGCGAGGATAGGACAAAGAAGAGGAAGGAAAGATCGTGTGCGGTCCGGGTCCGTGTTGGGCTACTGCTCCCCTGCCTCGTGTCACCAGTTGATATACCGCTCTCTCACATTGCCCAGGCGTTTAAGGAGCTGTCTGTTGATTGCTATTGCCAGAACACTTCACTAGTCACTCGTTCCAGAAGAAGTCGTGGCCCTCTTTGGTGCTAATATCAACTGTCCAGCATTTCGGATATTCTATATTTGGCCCTAATCGAGGTTAAAAAAGACAAATAAAACACAATTACAATGATTCAAGTATGTGTTTTTTTCAAAAGCAGCTTTTAAATTTCAAGACATGATACATCTGAAATAACAGTAATTGCACTTTGATAAATTATAAAAGTTTACATGTCATATCTAAACTAGTATTACACATCTCATATCACCAAGCACACTAATTCACCCTGGATACTATAAATGGTGTGTAAGTCAGATTACTTGCCCTGTCGACATGTCCGTGTGAGATTTTTTTATGGTTTTTGGGGGAACGTAAGGCCATTGCACCCTGTAAATACACACACGAAAGCTAGCCATGAAGAATTTCCTTCATGCAAAGTTTTGATTGTGAACTCCTGTGTAGAGATGTGTAGGTGAAAAATTGTTAAAAATGTATTGATTAATCTAACAGTGTGTGTGTGTATGTGTGTGTGTATATACATATATATATATATATATATATATATATATATATATATATATATATATATAAAATATTAAATTTCTAGAAAACGTACAAATTATAATCTTATGGAAACAATCATAAAATAAATAAATTTACTTAAAAATTAGGTTCTATAATGATGGACTGAAATTCTTGCCATCATTATTATTAAGTCATAATTCCCAAATCTTAATAAATAAAATTGTAAGACAATATATCAAAAATTAATGAAATTAATTCCACCTGCCTCAGTTTCCATGTGTGCATCCCTTGTTGGTCCTCTTTGCAATGTTTGCAACAAAATGTTCTGTACTTTTCGCCGACTTTTTTAAAATTCTATTCTTTGAGTAACAACATTTCAAGTCTTTTGTACATTGAACATGGAGTAATCCTTTTTGAACATGCCAGTCATATTGCTTTTGGGCTGCAATAATGGCACGACTCAAAAAATACCTTTTCGGACATCTCACGTAATGTACTGAGAGGGGAACTGGATGCAATGTAGCATGGGAATTTCGGGGAATGTAGTCCTGCAAATTTAGGCTCAAAGAAGCCTTTGCTGTGGATATCGATTCCAACTTTATACCCCATTTATAAAACTTCAAAATAAAAGATAAATTTAAAAAAAGGCTCAGCTAAAAATCAGCTAAAGGGGATTTATCCCACACGTGAAACATAAACTGGACTAAAAGGTAGATTTACCAAATTAAACTATACCTGTTGCAGGATGGAGATGTCATTGAGCTGTGCCAAGTCAGTGACATTCGAGCGGGCGGGTTACCAAAGGTGAGTCACGAGAACAGTGCATGCTTGATTTGGGAAAGATGACATGGATTCTATGCATATCTGTGTATATTTGCATATACATGCTCATGCATGTGTGAGATACACTCCAAAAATATCACAAACTCGCTTAAGAAATGTAGTATTGCTTGGTCATTTACAAAACACAATATTGTATTAGATAAATGGTGTTACCTGGGATTTACCTAAAGACGCTTTACTCTGACATACACTTTCTTAGTGTATTTAGGTGAAAAAAGATGAATAATCATCAAATTTACAATATTTATTCATATATTAATATCAAACTGTGTGTGTGTGAGAGAGAGAAATAATGAAAGTAGAAAGTATTAATTGAAGATTAAGAAATATAAGTACTTATTATTCATAGATGTGCAACCCTTTTTTTGCTCATCTCTGGCCCAAATAGGATTTCTCTACTGACTATTTTTTTTTGTCAGAGGATAAATTATCTTCCCGTTTCATTAAAAAAAATTAATTAATTGTTTTTTATTTGTGGAGTACAGGAGCAGAATCCCAAATTGTTGGCCCAGCTTGTGAAAGCACATGGAGAGAATCTGGAAGAAAAGTCGCTGACCATCTGCAGTGGAACGGATTATATCAACATCAACTATCAGCATGTAGTTTGCCCAGATGCTGCAACAGCCAAGGTGAGCCAAAACTCGGTGCAGTTTTCAAGGCTAATGAGTGGTATTTAACCTTTGCAATCTCTCCATGGTTATGAACGGTTAGCAATGAAAGAATACATCTTGCATTTCATTTCTGGCAAAAGTGTATGGTTATTCAGTATTTGATGTCTTGTGGTAAATGTTTATCTGTAGGTTACCTTAATATGTTGCCAAATATATCTGATAATTGTAGTTCCTTTGGCCCATTTGAATAAACCTAATGGATACTAATAGTTGGATCTTCATAGTATTTAATCCTTAGGCAATCTTGTAAGAAATCATACTGTAAAATCGACAGTGATGTCAGTAATATTCCACAACAACGTTGTTAGAAATTTTGAAGTTAAATTGTTCGTGAAATATCCATGTCACATGGGGAAAGGAAAAAATAGTCATTATCATGCCTTTCAAGTACACTTAAAAGCCTTGAGATTATAATATAAAATTGGAAAATAAACTATTTCATTTTTCTTTTGAAAAATTTTGAAAAAAATATACTATTTGGGAAACTTCCAAACTAAAAACTGGTCACACATTCTATCTCAGAATAAAATTTAACAAATTTGTTTTAAAACTCTCTTAACAAATTCTAATCATAAAAATTTAGCCATCTTAATTCTATTGCTTATATTAGTTTCTCAGAGTTGACTGTGTCAATCTATTGACTGTGAGGTCAGTTTCCAAAAAATTTGTCCTGATGTCAACAGAATGGATGAAAGCAAGTTTTAAAAAATGGCTTGTCTTGTGGATATTGTTCATGACTTGCTTTTAAAATAACGATTGGAACACAAATAAGAGAGCGGGGCAAGGGGACCTAGTTCAAGAGTGGGCACATATTAAGTCAAAGAAGGCTGCCTACCAGTGTTCTGGGCATTATAAAGAGATACATCTTAGTTTGATAATATTAACTAATTCACAAATTCAAATTGAATTTAACCAGCCAAACCCTTGTTATTACAATCCACAAAGGAAGAACTGTACAAAAGTTACAACAGAAAAGTACCCTCCTTCCATGTTGTTTTATGTTGTTTAGTAATTATTTTTGAATACTAATGAAATGAGGGGAGGTTTACGAATTTTGGAACAATACTATCACCATTCACTATAATTATTCTAATTATGTTTTTGAAAATGTAATTGAAATGTTTTACATTTACTACTCACTAATGTACAATATAACATACATGTTGTATGAATGTTGTAATGCACATTAGAAGGAAATACTGCTATCCACCTTAATTTAAAACAGTAATGCATCTCATATTTGTAATTATAATCATTGTTGTTGTTGTTTTTTTTGTAAAGGAACATATTTTAAATGATTGCTTAACATTGCTTTTACTGAACTCGCTGATCTGAGATTTGTTGTGCACTTAAACAATCTCATATCTTCATATTGTTCAAATACATGAATGTCTATTTTTTGAGGCAGATATTCATTCCCATAATAAATTTTTAATTAAAATCAAACAATCTTTAGACACGTTTTGAAGGTCAGTGGCCGTCATCTTCAGGGTCTAATAAATACAAGTGAATGTAATATTAATGAAATAATTTTACAAGCTATAAATGACAAATTGTTTAAAATGAATCTACGAGATACCTTTTTCAATTTGTTCTTTGTTTATGATATAATTTCAATTTAGAGGTAGTTACTAAAAATTAGATGAAAAACCAATTAAAATTAAAATTTCATTAAATATGACCTTTGAGAAAATTGCATCAGTCAATAATTTAAATTTATAATTCACCTGAATAAAATATTTGTAATATTTCATGAAAGTCTAAAATATCAAGTCATGTTTTTTTTATAATAATTTTCACAGCCTCTTAATATTTACGAATTATTGTTACATGAATTTCGTTTCAAATCAACAATTAAAATCTTATGATTTAAACATGACTTCAACATTGTGAATTTAGTGGTTTTAAGGAGAAAAAAATATTTTTAAAAAGGAGATCTTTCATAGGGACATAGTGTTCATCTGGTTGGAGTAGTTACGAATTTACATTTGCTGGTTGGTAAATTCCAAAGAAAGGGAGATGTAGAATGGTTGTTCTGCAGGTCTGTATAAATTGTTCCTAAATCCCAATAAATATGGATTACAATGAAAAAGATTATCTTCACTAATTAAACGGGATTAATGAAATTGCATGTTTTTGCTTGAGCATCGGGGATCTAGAATAATTTTGCCCTTTGGCTTTTCAATTTCTAATTTTATATTTGGAAGGTTGTCTACTTGAAAATATGGCTTGTGTTCATAATACTTGGTTGATTGCTACTTATTCATTATTTTAGAGTTATCAGTTGGATGAATATTTTGTTGTAAAACTTAATTAATTTCCAAATTTCCCGCTTTGTGACTTCTTTGTTTCTCTGCATTCAAATCAGATTATCAATCAATTGGTATGCACCAAAAGTGTTCACAAAAGTGTCCATCAGTGTAAATACCCACACCATTAGAGGAGTAATAACATATGTTCTGATTGCGTATCATGTCTACTATTTGAAATTAATATCCAGAAAAATTAACACTTATAATAATCTGTGAATTCTGTTTCCAATTTATGAATTGTATTAAAGCATTTCTGTTGGGTAAGTTGGCTAGGGCATACTGCAGTTATTAGGTTCAGAAAGCAACACCTGTTTTTTGTTTTTTTTTTTAATTTATTCCATTGTGTGTCCCTGCATTTTCCTACTGTATTTGTATGACACATGTTAATGTCAACTGATATTGAGAACATTCCCAATTTCCAGTGTGATGTTTGTGTCTACAAATTAAAAGTTTCAGATTAAGTCTGATTAGGTAGTAACTTAACCAGGTTAATTTAAGTCTAGTTGCTTTGTTTTTATTTGCTTAAAAAAATTACATATACAAAGCCAGTGGGATGTACTCATTTTGATGATTATTTTAATGATTCAATGATTATTAGTTAAGCTATTGAGTACCAATGTTTTTATCTCTTTTACTTTATACAGTTAACTAATTATATCTTCCCCCATATGACAGAACCATGAATGTGCGTTGAGAAAAAGGCAATTGAAATTTTGAAGTCCATGTAAAATAACAAATATTCAGAAAAAAATTTTTGTGTTAATTGACAGGAACTTCAATGATTCAACTGTCTTTTTTTTTTTTTCCAAAAATGCACGTTTGTGGTTTTGGCATACAGAGAATGATATGTGAAGGTATTGTCAATGTTCATTTTGTTATTAATAGGTTAACATAGAAATGAAATAGTACTTTTGTGTACAGAGGATTCCATGCTTTTATTTTTCATAACCTGCAATATTGATTTCCTTATTGAATGAAAGTATAAAAAGGGGCATTAAAATTTGAATAGATTGAACTATTCAGTTGTAGATTTTAACAATTTCTTAATTTACATGGTTCACTAACTTATTTTCTAAAGGAGTATGTATTTGTAATTGTAATTTATGAGAATTAATCACAGCTGCTTTATTCTGTGCCTCAAAGAGTTTGTGATTGAAGAAGCTTTGTATGAGTAGAGTAAAACTTAGTTCTTCATTTGTTCAGTGTTCTCTCACTCTTCTGTACAAGATTTATTTAAATTATTAATCTTGGAAATGTAATTTATACTTGTTGTGCTTACAGTTGTTATAACATACCATTATAACGATTGTATTTCACTGAAAATTTCAAAGCTTTTCCATTGTTCATTTTAAAAACTAATATGTGGAACTAATACTGATTAGAAGGATACTGACATTTTTAATGTTCGTGCATTTGCGTTTAGATTACTGCAGTTGAAGTCTATTAGAAGAGGATGTTAAGCTAATAACGACCAAAATAGGAAAGACAGTGGGATGAAGCTGACAACTTAGTGAAGTTTGGTAAATTGTTAATCTTTGCTAGGTGCCTTTTCTCTTTGTATCTTCATTCTTATTTTAATATTTTGGTTTGTTTGGTGTGTTCTTAGGAAAGGAAATTGTTTCTTGGAAACTGATGTAAATCAATTTTAATTCCATAATAACCAACAAATATTATTTTGTTGGTTTTTGTTTCCACTTCGACTCTTGTAGAGAAGCTGTATGTAATATAATTTCTTAAGCAATAACTAATGGTCCCTAGAGTTATGATAACCTTTATGTCCTCTAATCAATGTCGTACCTTTGTGGCGTTGCTCAGAAAGCCCATTCTTTGTTTTAAGCACCTACTGAAAAGTATTGTAAGTGTAGATGCCATGATTTTTTTTAAATCTTTATTTTGTTCCAATAATATGAACATGGAAAAGAAATTAAATTTGGCCCAATAAAATATGATAATTTTCATGTAAATATTCATCAGAAGTTTTAATTAATAAGTAAAGTTTCACTGACATTTTGATTTTGAATTGTTTGCTTAACTATACAGATGCCCATGCTTCATCAACTCTTCAAGCAATTGATGTGTAAAAAGTATAATGAGATTTACCAACAAGCTTTGTTACGAGTCATGTCTTTAGAAGAGCTGTGTTTGGTATTTCATTTTGTCTCTATCTCGTGTTTTCTGCCGCTTAACAAATAGTTGTGACTCCACCAGAGTTTGGGAAATAGAGGTTAGGTGAGAATTTTTGTCTTTTGAAAATTCTCTATTTAGTGTCTGTGTTTTGTGCTCCGCACTGTTGGCTTTGGGGGGGCAGTGAGTGTGGCTGTGGATGTGATGTGCGTGATGCTTCCAGGCCTGGCTGGATGGGATCCGCAAAATCACACACAACGTGAAGGCCAACAACTTCTGCCCTATGACCTGCCTCAAGAAGCAGTAAGTCTGTGCATTTTGCCCACAGCATCAGGAATGGCAGCATGTGACTCATGATTGGATGCACTGTTCTTTTTTCTTCTCGTTATTTTTTTTCTTTCTTCTTTTTCTTTCTTTTTTCCTTTTGTTCACCTCTATTGTTTCATTTTGCTTTTTATATTCTTTCATGTTTCATCCATTGACTGAACATTCCTTACAGTTTACTTTGCTTTCACTTTTTAA